GATGTAGATACCAAGATGATGTAGACCCGTCCCTAAGTAGCCGAAACACCTTAGGAAACAGTAAAAACCACAAACTCAAAATCTCATACGGAAAATGTCAAATGGTGAAAGCGGAGATGGCAATGCGGAAGAGGTGGTGGTGGTTGATGAAGAAGCAACCGTCCCTAAGTAGCCGAAACACCTTAGGAGACTCAAGTCACCACTCAAACAACCACAAAAGCTATATGGAGCAAAAAGGGTTAGGTTGCGGAAGGCTATGGTGGTTTTGCGGATGATATGGTGGAGGGCCTAGGCAAAGATGCCAAAATGTCAAAAATTTGATGGAGTCAAATGGTGATGGAACCTATCCAGATGGATGGGGGATGTCAATAGCTACTCAACGAGCTAAAGAATGCGAAAATCAGACTCCGGATGTGGAAGTTATGACTGAAACGGTGAAGTGCACGCGACTACTGTAGGGGGGTCGTGCGCACGGGGTCTAGGGCACGTGGGCACGGGGTCCCGTGCACACGGTACACACACCAAGGGCACGGGGTCACCTGGGACACGCGGGTTTGGCGGATTTCTTCTCGATCTGGGCTCCAAATGGATGGATTTCGTTGCTGGGGTTTAGCTGGGGGTATGGGGGTGGTATGGGAGGGTGGGGGCGAAGGGGCAGCGGCGGAAGCGTGCTGGAGGGGTCGTGCGCACGGGGTCTGCGAAGCTCGTGTGCACGGGGGGCCATGTGCATGGGCCCCGATGGCCCGTGTACACGGGGTGCTCTGCGAGCAGACGAACTGCTCTAGATCCGTGGGTAATCTCGAATCTGAGGTCAAAATCGAAGGATGGAAGGTAGGAGAAGGTGGAGAAAAGCTAGATCCACTTAAAACCAAGCAAATCCATGGATCAAATCCAACAAAACCTCATCAAACCAACAAATCACAAAAAAAATTGGGGCTATTTTTGGTGGGCAATTTTCAAAATTGGGACAAAATCAACAAAACTAGGCTAGAAAACAAAGAGGGGGGCTCCAATTTCATGATCAACCTTGCTCATGGTACCTAGATGTTGTGGGGTGGAACCCTATGGAGAAATCTTTCATGAATTGGAGGGGGAATCCCCAAGAACAAGAAGAACACAAGAGAGAAAACAAGAGGAAACACTCAATTGACTAGATCCAATCACACATATGCTAGATCCAAAAACATACAAGAGGTCACAATGATTCAGGAACAACAAAGGAAAGATACAAGATACTAGCTCATCCCAATCCTATGAGGAGAGAGGTCTTGATGATCCTATGATGGGGATCCTTCCCACATGTGGGGTCTTGATATCCACAAGTGAATCTTCTCCCTTAGGAGGTCATGATCTCCTAGAGGAGTGGGTACAAGGAGCAAAGCTCACATAATCATCTCATATACTTTGCTATCCCTAACAAATGGTCTAGGTATGGAATATATAGGTGGCTGGAGATGAGGGACGAGGTGGATGAAGAGGAGGCCCAAACAGCAATCACAGTCGTTCATCCTGTAGGGCCCGTGTGCACGGGGTAAGTTGGGCCCGTGCGCACGGGGGTCCCGTGGGCACGGTACAAGCCCGTGCGCACGGGGTGCTCTAGCGCCAGCTTCCTGTGTAGTACGTGCGCACGGGGTCTTAGAGGCCCGTGGGCACGGGGTCGCCTGGGAGGTGCAGAGTTGATCTTGTTGCACTCCTTCCTCCTTGTGGTCTTGGGGTCCTTCTCCTTGGCCTCCGGGATGCTCCCCAACTGCTTGGTGGTGGCCGTCCTCGTACCTAGTGATGCACAATGATCCATGGTGAGGTAGTAACCAAGTCCTATGGATATTCATGTAAATCTTGAAGAGGAGCGAGTTCACCTTAAATCCGGTAGGTCCACTTGGGGCTTGAGGTGCAATGAAGGTGAACATGGTGATGTCCATAGGATGCTCCGCATCATGACACGGGGTTTTTCAAGGAGTCTATATTCATATGATGATTCTACACGGACAAGCATCGATTAGGAGGGTGTTGCAACTTAATTAAGCATGTTTTATTAAGGGGGGCATGCGGTTATTTCCATGAAGAGACATAGTGTTTCTCTCTCACACACACACAAAACCAATGCATCCTCTCGGGGCGTCTCCCTATAGTCAATGTGTCCCTTCAGGGGCATATATAATGTAACTTCATCATCGACAAATAACACACAGTTCCACTACTGTTCATTCTCTCTCGTTTTACATTTACATGCAACAGAACTCGGTCGCTTCCATTACGCGACATGTGTATCTGGATGGGTCATGTCGCCTTCTCCCTCCTTCAATCCCATAGCTCTCATTTCTCTCGAAGTAAATAGCATAAAACTACTATAATTCAGGCTAAGGTTCCAAAAAACTATCAATTTTTTTCCCTTGATAACTACCAAGTTTGAGGTTGGGTGTTTCAAAAAAAAAACCAAAAGGCCGAGTGCTTTACAATTCATCGTGATTATGACAGTTGGGGCCGTACGTAAGAGAACTAATTGTTTGACCTTAACTGACACGTGGGGCCCACATGCCAGTGTCTCTTTCACAATTTTTTTACAGAATAACCCATATAAGTATTTTTTAAAGCAATCAGGTCCCTATAATTATTTTTAAAAGCAATCAGGTCCATGGACATTTTAAAAGAGCAATCCGGCCATGGAGTCGTCACCGCTGCGCCGCCATGGCGCTTCGCCTAGGGTCGCGGCCGCACCTCCATGGGGCTCCGCCTAGGGTCGTCCTGCCGCGCAGCCATGGCGCTCCACCTGGAGTCGCCGCCTTCTGCCATGGCGCTCCGCCTGGGGTTGCCGCGCCGCACAGCCCTGGCGCTCCGCCTGGGGTCGCCGCCTTCTGCCATGGCGCTCCGCCTGGGGTCGCCGCCTTCTGCCATGGCGCTCCGCCTGGGGTCGCCGTGCCACCATGGGGCTCCGCCTAGAGTCACTGCCTTCTTCCATGGTGCTTCGCCTGTGATCGCCGCCACGCCGTCGTGGGTCTCCGCATGTGGTTGACGCCACGCCGCCGTTGGGCTCCTCCTGGAGTCGCCACTGTCTGCCATGGCGATGCCTGGAGTCGTCGCCGCCTGCCATGGCACCGCCTAGAGTCCCATACGGATCTGTTCCTCCCCCGGCTTTGTTTTTTTAACATGTCGCTTTGATTAGTTGCTCCATGGTTGACATGTGGGCCTCACATGTCAGTTAACGGTCAAAGAAACGGTTTATTTAAGGTGAGCCTGACCTGTCATAAACCGGATCAATTCTGAATTGCATGGTCATTTGGGTTTTTTGAAACAACCGACCCCCAAGTTGGTAGTTATCAGCAAAAAATGGTAGTTTTTTGGAACCCTAACCCGAATTGTAGTAGTTTCATGCTATTTACTCTCTTGCGCACGCGCTGCATGTCCTCCTCTTCTTCCCTTCTTTCCCAACACTACTCGCAAAGCTCACCACACCATTGTTGCAAGGACAATAGCTGTTGTTGCAGGACAACCACCGCGGGCATGCACCGGTGCTTCAGAGAGCCTCCTTCCTTCTCCCACTTCTCTCCCGCCATCGACCGAGGAGCTTCCACGCCACTACTGCAAAGACGACGGTCGGTGCTGCAAGTCAGCCCGCCATTTCACACATGAGCTTGTTGCAAGCACCATGCCCCATTGGTGCTGCAATGCAGCCTCAATAAGGTCCGTGGGGACCCAGGTTGGTTTGTTCGCCACCGTCTAACTGTGTGGCCGTGTTGCATGGACACGGCAAGCCAAACCAAGGGTCAACACTGGAGTGGTGTTACAAGTTGGCGTGAAAATGAACAAATCTGAAACTTCAACACAAAATGACCTCAATCTGGAAAAAAAATCATGAAATGGCTCTCTTTTACATGACGCCCAGGGCTAGGGCGCCATGCTAGAGAGCATGACGCCCGGGGCTAAGGTGCCATGGTAGCGACATGTAGCATGACGCCCCGGCTTAGGGCACCATGCCAAATAGCATGACGCCTTAGCCCGGGGCGTCATGCTATCTAGCATGGCGCTCTAGCTCCGGGCGTCATGCAAAAGAGGTCATTTCATGAAAAAAAAATCAGATTGAGACCATTTTGTGTTGGAAGTTTCAGATAAGGGCCAGTTTTGTCCATTTTCACCAAGTTGGCCGACCGCAGCTTCTTGTAGGATTCACACATGCACAATCGCTGCAAACTCACCGCCGGTTTGCTATGAGCCGACGTCGTGGCTGCTACAAGCGGGTGCTACTTGCCGGCAAGCTATCGCGCTCATGAGAGCTATGAGGCACCAAGCGCGCCCATGAATGATATCTGTAACGAAAGAGGCACAATACAGATTATACTTAGAGAGCGACACCTGTGGGCGATTGCCAGAGAGGGAGGGGAGTGCAAACTGGTAGTGAGTAGTGCGCTAGGTAGTTCGGAGTAGGGGAGAGTACGCGAGGCCTGCAGTATCTAATTCTCTTGTAAATATAAAGCTAACGTACGCTTTTGGCGTACTCTATAAAAACAGGGACGCTGCTTTGAAACATAGGCAGAGCGATGTCAAGGCCAACTCAATAGGGGAGGGGGGTGGGGGACAAGTGATCCTAATCAAGCGAATTGACCTCTCACCTATTCTACTATATTTTAGCAATATATCCAATAACTACCATTTGAAACCGAACCCATTTTCAGGTCTATGTACAGTCCAACTTTCCAGGCGCTCCACATGTTCAATCTAAAGGCACAACCAATGGCCCTCAACTATCAAACACCTTTTCATGTCTCAAGCAGGAGAGTTTGCAAAAAGGCTAAATACACGTCAAGATTACTCCACCCAAACTGACACCAGACAAATGAAAATGCATAGCTCCACATACACTGACCAACATAACTACCAAACAGGGAAATTCTTGGGTGCGAGTGTTGCCCACATGTCAGAATTAGTCAAGAATGTTGTTACAGCTTGTCTTTACAGGTCGTTTTCAAGACCAGGATGGTCAGGAATCAAAGCTGAGTTACAACCCTTCACTGGTTCATCTGTCTGCACAAACCGGAGAATGCGGCTTTCCGGATGAGAGGGTGAATACTCCCAACAAAAACCTCATCGTCCAACATGCCAATGTGAGACCAAATCTGCAACATATCATATGTATTTTTATATCTATTAATCAATCAGTTTATGCTCATGGAAACTTGAAATAACCAGTGATTATGAATTTATCAGTTCAAACGACCAACACCAGTAATTACCTCTGTTGCATACTGTCGAGAAAATGACTTTAGATACCCCAATGTGCATAGGCACCATTGCTCAAGCTCTCCAATAGTATAACCAGCTTCCGTATTTTCACGATTCACTTGACTGTCAAAACATAACGACAAGTTAGCAGAGACCGTAAAACTCGTACCGGCATGTGCATCACTGCACACTGGCTAGTAAATACTGGGTTGTACGCCGATAATGGTATTAATGAGCAGGTCTTCATTCATCTATGAACCAATATCCGTTGCATTATTTCAGACTCGATTCCCAGTGAGTGTTGTGTGTTAAACACAAATTAATTATTCATAGCAAGCCCCACCACAAAATAAATGTCCACAAAAGTACAAGGTAATCTGGCTGGTTCTACAAAAATGTAAATCCAAACTTGCCAGAAGCAGTCATTCTGAAAGAAGTACTGGAAACTGTGTATTAAACTCACCTATTGTTATCTGCTCCATTTTCATTGTCTATCTCCATAGTTGCCGCTTCAGGATCACTGGCTGGAAATGTTACATTAGGATCTCCAGCGCGTAGGTTAGGAACATCTCCATCAGCAGAAACAGGTGGCAGGCGTTCAGTAAGCACATCAAGAAAGCTCTTGAATAATAACCTAAGCAATTCCTGGAAAACCAATGGCGAGATAATGGTAAGTTGATGTGAGATGCTCAAAACTCTCATAGCAAAAGCAAGTGCCACAGAAAACTTAAGTTCACAAAAATATGTATATCAAGTTATCAACAGATATGCAAGGGTTTACAGAAATAAGATATAAGAGAGTAGCATACTTTGCCTTCTTCAAGCCCCAGGGCAAGGAGAGCCTGCTTTGCCTCTAACGATTCTTCAATAGTTACTTCCTCTTCTTTTGCTTTGTCAGCAAAACCTTGAAGCCGTCTCAGCCTGCCTGGTCTTTCAGATGGCACAGGTTGGCCCTCTACGATTTCAAGTATTGATTTAGCCTCCTCCAACTCTTTGATGGCTTTTGCACTAGCCTCTTTAGCAACTTGAATACTTTTCCTCAGTGTCTGAATTTCCTTCCGAAGATCACTGATTCGATTGTATGTCTTACTAACAGTATTCCTAAGAATCTGTTAAGAGGGCATGCCAATCAGACAGATTGAACAAAAAATCATAACAAGTACTCCCTCCGTCCCAAAGTATAAGATCATTTTTTACACTATCCCTCCGTCCCAAAATATAAGATCATTTTTGTCACTAGTGTCAAAAATGATCTTATATTTTGGGACAGAGGGAGTATATTATGTGCTGCATTGGGCAGAAAAGGCTACATAGCATTAATATAACACCAAACATGCATGCATAAGGCAAAAAATATCTTTGTATGTGCCGTAAATTTCATGAGCATATAACATCCAGACACATGCAAATCTAGAGTAGACAAATCTACTATATCTAGGAGCCCCCCACTACATGATTTCTCTTCACATGCAGCCTATCCACCTCAGCAATCTGCCACGTCAACGACTCTCAACAGCCTTCCACAAAAAAATCTTCTGAGCGTAGCCCCTTCTAATTATGTGTGTTTAATATTCCTTTGCTAGCAAGTTGGTAACCACATGCAGCCCATTACTCCAAACCACATGCATCCCATTATTAGAAGGATACTACTGGAGGCAATCTTAAAAAAAGGAAACTGTTGAATTCCATTCATATGTCACGCATAATCTCTTCCCCATCATATTTTTTTGTTGAGAAGATCATCAGTGGTGTACGTCCGTTTAGACAGCCTTATCAATTAGTGTTTGATTGAATACAAGGTTGCACTTTTCCCCTTCCTCTTCCATTCCACCTCCCCTTCCTCTTCCATTTCCCCTTCCCTTCTGTAATCCCCACGTGAAACTGCTTCCTCCAGACCCTAAATAAAATTCTACCGCCGCTGTTGCAAATGGTTGTTGGCATCTTCCTCCAAATCCATGGCCGGCCAGGATCAAAGCTGCAGCATCCTCCACCGCTAAGGATTTTTTTCTCACACAGCCGTTAGGATTGCCGCACTACATGAGGTCGCCGCTGCCTTTCATCACCACCGAGGCAAGTGCGCTTGTGTGTTCATTTTTATATTCTCACTTTCCATAGATTTCCTTTATGGTGTTCCTGATGCTGTGGCTAGCTACATCATACTCCCTCCGTTTTTATTTACTCTGCATATTAGGTTTGACTGAAGTCAAACTTTGTAAAGTTTGACCAAGTTTATAGAAAAATATATAAACATTTACCATAACAAATCTATATGATGTGAAAGTACATTTAATAATGAATCTAATGGTATTGATTGATTATTGTATATGTTAATATCTTTGTTTATAAACTTTGTCAAAGTTTACAAAGCTTGACTTTGACCAAATCTAATACGCGAACTAAATAAAAACGGAGGGAGTACTAACTGGACTACATGATTAAAAAATATAGTATAGGTTGACGCAAACATTTACTTGCCGATGTCTGTCACATGTGCAAAGGAATACCCAACGCAGATTACCTAATGTTGTTGTTACATCATACTAACTGAACGATCAAAAAAAATAAAACAGGTTGATGCAAACATTTACTTGCAGAATATATAGCTCACCATATCCTTATTCGTTGACTCAAAATATTTACTTTATCTTTGCCTTCTCAGGGCTTGGCACCAATAAAACATTACTTTCCTTGCCAAAACAGCTTCATGTATGGGATGTGTTATTTTATTCATTTTGTCCTCTACAGAATCCACATAGGACATAACATGCCATAAATATAGGTGCGCAAATTGCAGGATACGCACGTAAGATATCCTAACAATTTGCAATTTTATTTCTGAATTCTTTCTGGTCTATCATTTATTTTCATGCCATCATTTATTTTCATGCTCACACTGATTATCATAGCCTTTAATTTCTTCTGGGTTATTCTTGCTCAGTATACCAAACTAAAGGGTGGTTATAAATGATTCAAGATGGCTCTCTTCGTATGATTTACCTACTTTTGCTATGGACTTCCTTTAACCTTTAATTTATATTTGGTAGTTGTACAAAATGCATAATTTAGGTTGTTAGCACTACAAGTATACCAATGTGATTCTATGGACCTCCTAAAAATTAATCAAAAAAGATTGATTGCTACAAAATCCAGCAGCAACGCGCAGGGTATCTTCTAGTATGAGGATAAGAATTTACCTCCCATGGACGATCCGACACATGAAATTGATCGACATTAGCAGGAGAAAAAACCCACTTGACTATAGCCAAGTTGGAAATTAAGCGATAACCCATCATTCTATCAATAGCTATAGCAGTCATCTGGGTACTGTTCTTCCAGTAAGCACTGACTTCATCCATCAACAATAACTGCATTTCCTCATCTGGGCACAGTTTGGAAATTATTTGACCATATCTCTCCAAAACAGTGATAAGATGGGTGAAACTTTTTGAACCAATGTCAAGAAGTGTCTGACTAACAACATCAACTGCGAATTTGGCCCCATTTGCAGGAACTATTTGTTCCTCAACCCACAAAATAATATCACGTGTAGTCTTCCTTCCTCTAACCATGCTAACAAGTTCCTTGGATAGCCTGTGGCCTTCGGTGCTTTCTTTGCTTTCATCTGTATGATATCTGAAATTAGGACCAGCTTTTGGGGGTAACAACCCTTCTAACTCAGCAGCATCTTCAATACTCTGCAAAACAATAAAGGCAATAAATTCAATTCAAATGACCATTTCCAAACCACACAACAATTGAGTAGAAGGATATACAAATATAAAGCAAAAAAGGTCCTTTTTACTCCCCTGAAGTATTTGCCCCATCTATTTCTTGGTTCAGTTTTCTCCCCCAAAGTTTCAGTTACCATTTACTAAACCGCCTACTCTGGTTTCATATTGTGGTTTTGCTGACGTGGGCAATAAGTACACAAGACTCAGAGCTGTGGACAAAAAAGAATGCATACATGGATGGGGACATCGTTCCAGAAAACACAGACAACGAGGAACGCCATGGCCATGGATGCTGTTAAACTGGAACAAGGAAAATGCCGTTAAGCTAAAGTAGTGGTTGCACACGCAACAAGCCAACAATGCTCTTCTGTGAGCAGGCAGGCAACTGAGTTTAACCAGGCACGTGAATTAGGTACTGATAAAGTCAAGGGCATGATACACATGCCAGGTTCATATGTCATCCGGATGTAATAAACATGATGGGAGAACAATTTTGTGGAAATGATTGAGGGTGAAGAAGATTGAGGATGCAATATGAGCAAAGGCAACGAGAGGCACACAATATTGGACAAAGATGTATGTCAGCACGACTGTTGGTTGGGCAGAGTTCAATGGCCACTCTGGACACGGCCAAACAAGTCGTCCCGTCTCAGCCAGTAGTCACCTCCCAGTCACAGATCTCATCGCTCGTGCTCACTTCCCACCTCTTTACTAATGGGTGAAGCGTCTCTTGAGCAGGATCACGATAGGTGTAGAGCGCACGACGGGAAACAAAGGGAACTACCACGGCTATTGATAAATGAGCAGTTATTGCCCCCCTACTTCGGCACATGGTGCTCGAGACCATTGGTTCCACGGCAATAGATTTGGTGCAGCTGCTTGGTGGATGCACATGCTACCACTCTTGGCTGCGAGGAGCAGATGAGCTTGGTACAAAATAGAAAGATATGGGCAGAAGGGGTGAGAAATAAAGACAGAAGGAACAAAGGTTGAAGAAGATATTGCAGTTGGCAGATTGGCAGGATCTTGTGTGATTTTGATGATGTCATTGTTCATGTATGATGCCACGTGGCAGAACCATTCCACATCAGTCAAACAAGAGTCTGAAACTAGGGTAAGGGGTTAAACTCGAGGAGAGTGAACTGAACCAAAAATATAGATCAGGGGGTTATCCGATCAACTGTAATACTTCAGGGTAGTAAAAAGGACCTTTTACCAAATCAAAGTGGCAAGGCATAAATCTAACACAAAACAATAAATTGTAAAAAAAAACTCCTTATTGAAAAGGAATGTCTCATATGTCACTAACCTGCTTGATTTTCTCGAAATAGGACAACCGAATTTCCCTTTCTAGTACTTCTTGGACAAAAACACGTTGTGGAGCCCACTTTGGTAGGCCCTTCACATTGGCCCACTCCTGCCAAGGCCAAATGAATTGAAAATTTGACCTGCGTAGGCAGATAATGTCATTAAGATTTAGCAGTACAAGGTTGCAGTTTGTTTTCAGTGCTACAGGAGATCAAACTTGTGAAAAGAAAATTTATGTTCTGAAACCAATTGGTTTCAAAGCTATACTAGCATTGTATGTAACGTTTTATGGATTTTTTTAAGCAGTAGCAGAAGTGGGTCATCATTAGGATATTGAACATCGAGAGGAAGAGTAGCAATAGCCAATAGGCTGCAGTAAGAGGTTCCAACAAACTCATACTAGGCCAAATAAACAAAGCAGGAACACTCGTGAACAAAACAAATACATGGCAATGAACTTACAAATGATGTGAAAACCATAGGATAAGTCTGGTGCGGCACTCTGTATCCATGTTACTTATTCTGTCAAAAAGAGCATGTACTGCTGCTACCACCACAGATGGAAATGCAGCTGGCAAAGCCTGAAGATATGTTAAGATAATTAGACTCGGTCCACTCATCCTCAAGGAAGAAAGTAAAACAATTTTCTTTTATGGGAAGGAAAAAAGGTAAAACTGTAACCAGCCGGTTTCTACGGGAGGTTGCACGCGAACCATGTGTTGCCTATTCTCTAAATGTTGAACAAAGACATCCAGAACACTTGGTAATGGTATGGTGTTGATGTGATAAGTGGTGTCCCGATCTTTGGGCGAGAGGATAAATAACGATTTGTGGTGATGACCCTGATGGTCCAGGTATCAACTCAACAGACTAGTAAATGTCGCAATCAGGTGAGTTGACAGACGTGAAAAGTGTAACATGCATCCTATATATGACATATCCAAAGCTTATGTTGTTTAAGTAGCCAACTCACTAATAGACAGCTCAATTATTTTTCTAGGACTCAGATTTGCTATGAAACCATACAGAAAATTGATTACTTCGTGATTACCTTAGCTCGTGGAAGCTTACTTGCAAATAAGTAAATACACTGAACCTATCAATTTGAGGGTGCTACACTTAACATCCACATCTACGTTGATTATATGGTTCAAAGATCTAGAGCAGATCTACATTCGCATTTCACAGGCAGAAATTATGGCATCAATAGTTTACCAAAAATAAAAGGTGTAATGGTATAGATGAAAACATAAGCAAGTATGGAATGGGAATCTGGTATGCAGATAGATCATAACAATATCATTCTTTCGAACACAAATACTCCCTCCGTTCCAAAATAGATGACCCAACTTTGTACTAAAGTTAGTACAAAGTTGAGTCATCTATTTTGGAACGGAGGGAGTAGTAAACAGTATGTTTAAGTATGTTATGAATGAATCATAAGTGTCCTATTGACGAAACAAAGGAACTGTGGTTTCACAACTGTGCTCATCATAACCATACAATTATGTAACAGAATTTTGGTCAACCCATGCACCAAAATCTGCATGGCCATGATAGAACTCAAGGAGTATTTAGGTCTGCTGATGTGCTCATTAACAATGATGTATTTTTAAATCTCACATTGCATACTGGTCTCATCACCACACAAAATATCAGCTAAACAGTCTCAAAGCATTAAAGAAGAACTACCTTGCAAAGATCGATGATAACCAATGTATAGTAGATTGGCCTGAAAGGTGGATTCGGCAGCAATAGTAGCTGCAGAATATCAATATGTCATAAGAAAAGATTCATTTTTATTTGACAAGTATACTCGCTATAATGGATAATGGAGAAAAAATGCATGCATAAATATTGCACTAGGTATCCTAACTATATCTTTATAAAAATATAGCAGTAACTGTTAAGACTGTTAGTGTCTATAATCCATCAGAACCAGGATACAACTTGGTATCATAAAGCCCAGAACCAACACCTCAGATAAAATGCAAAAATAGTTGGCACGCTACCAATCAAGACAGTATTCCAAGGAATTTTAAAATTCAGCTACTAAATAGAAAACAGCCTGAAGAGTCACAATTTGGATTTATTAATAACCAAATTCATGCCGGCCATGTCTTCTTTTTCTAGTATTGTGAAATACATGTATAATTGCCCCAAACAATATTAGTAGATCAATATGAAGACAGAAATGGCAAACTGGCAACTATTCGGAAGGAACACTCAAGGGTTTAACTTTAGTACCTAAATGAGTGATTTTGTCCTTCTTTATTAATATACATGTACATTAAACTCTGCTGAAACTATTGCACGGAAGTAATACACTTGTTCAGAGATACTCATGGCAGGTTGAAGTTTTCCAGCCAGCTTTTCTAGGTTTATCATCATTATATTTCAGATACCACGGATAGTTAAACAATGTTAGCAAGATAATGATCTAAGGTAGGATCATTTTTGTATGACAAGGTCAGTTCGTTGAGCCGCCCATAATTGTATAAGATCATAAAAATTCATATACTCTATAAAGGGAAATATATATTGGGAAAAGCAGAAAGCTAGACACAAATATTGGATCTTGAACAAAATTTGCGAACTTAGGTGAACTTATTCATGTTGGTCAGCTGGACGTAATTTTTCAAACCTTACTCAATATAAACTATGTGTTACTACCACAATAATATCTCCAAACTAATCCACAATTAGCTCAGATCAGCACACCCAAACAATCGGTCATATTCAGCAGATCCACTGGAAATGCTTGGGCGAAACTCAACACATGCACCAAGAAAAGCAAGGTTTACTACCCATTTCATTGTGGTTAAGTTAAATCATTGCCATACAAGAAATTTAGAGTGGAACATGAAGATTCACTTCTGCAACAACTAAAGATAACAGTTCACTTAACATGAAGGCAGACATGCAGAAACTAGTAATAATAGTCTAAAACACACGTAATAAAGATAGTTCAGAAATACCTGCGAAAATATGGTCTCAGCCATCAGGTATTCATACCGAAAAGACACAGGAAGGCTGACCAAATAAAACGCACATTCTTTGCGACTGTCTTTCAAAGAAAAATATAACCATGATAGAATTAGTAAGAGAACCAAAATAATACAATTCAGCAGGCAAATATTAACACAAAATTCAACAAACTTTCCCGTGATGGGCATGAGAAAAGTTGTCAACCCTAATTATTGTCTTCAAAATGATATTTCCGCATGCTAGCAGCAAAGTAAAAATGTCACACTTGAGTTAGGCAACTTCACCAAAGATTTAGCCATGCACAGGGGTGTGTGGAAGTTAGCTATCCACGTGCCAGAACCATGACTTAGTTTCGATATATTACGGGTTTCAACCCTAGCCTACCCCAAATTGTTTGAGACTGAAAGGCTTTGTTGTTGTAGTTTGTTTGTTGTTGATTAGGAACTTTGACATTGTTAGGCTTGTGCTTAGTTCTTTCCAGAACCTTTGGCTTGGCATGATACACTTTATTACCCCTATACCCTATTTGATGCCACGTGTGTGGCAAACAACTTGTTCGTCACAACCGTGGTTGCCACACTGTTGGGAGAAATTTACAGCAAGGTGCTGTAAGTAATAAAACAGGATTAGTTCTAGCAAAAATAAAACAGATGTTAGAACACCTCCACTGCATACTTTGGGAGCAAGGTTTATAGACCAAAATTCTAGAGCTTAACAAGAGATGATAGACAAAAGCAACACATCCAAATACAGCCAATTTTGTTAACCAAGGAGAGAACATAAGACTCAGCACTACGAAGATAGAGAACACCAAATTTATTCACATTAAGGACTGACAAGCAAATCCAATGAGTACATGGTGTCAGCAATGTCATGCATGAACAACTTAACAAACAGATGTCTGACATCTAACAATCGCAGCTTTTGTACAAGTGTCAAACACACTAATAGAACTGAGAAAAAATTGTAACTGACCATCCATTGAAGAAAAGCAGCACATCCAATATGTATTCCTCAACAACAAAACGGTCTACAGGTTGCATATTCTGTAAGAAAATGATAGCTGATTAGGGCTCATAAGTATATATATAAATAGGTGAACTTTGCAACATAAAACCAAGTAATAGCGAATTTCATGTAGTTAACATGCATTACAAAAAATACAGCAATGAAAATATTAAATGTAACAATGATCAATGGACTAGAACATAGCATAAAGGTGTCTGCCTCATAATAAGTATATAAACAGGTGAACTTTGTAACATAAAACCAAGTAATAGCGAATTTCATGTTAGTTAACATACGTTACAGAAAAGACAGTGATGAAAACATTAAATGTAACAATGCTCAATGGACTAGTATATACATAAAGTTGCGATTTACCTCAGCTTTATTTGTTGGAAATATATGGAGCCTACGAAGCCTTTGAGGATACTTTAGATTGGCTTCATGCTTCTCTTGCCCTTTTAATATCTCAGAAGATGACATCGTGAAAGTAGGCGGTGGGCAACTAACTGGGTGGAAACGGTGAGATTTTCCAACTACTAACTGAGCTTCAAACGACAAGTAAGGTTTTGGAACTGCGAGGGGCAATTAAACAGAATGCAAAACAAATTAAGAAACTGCACATTTGGAATTACGTATACAGTCCTGAGCTGGATAAAGAAGAAGTTATCTTATCATTCAACACTATACTGCTTGAATATTAAAACTCAACAGCGTATTATTTCAGTAAGAAATCGTGTGTATTTTATATCATGTAATGACATACCACTTTTAACCTTCCATCCATTACGAGAAAGAAGTTGCATATGCTCCCATAGATCTTCCATGAAATCCTACAAAGAATATAAGTTACTGAACTGATCAAAATATCATAAAAGGAGTTAAATGGATCGGAATTCAGGAAATAAACCAGTGTAAGGTTCAGACATTCAAGAAATTGCCAGTACCTTCTTATTGGGAGAGTTGCCTTCATCCGTCTCGAAGACTGAGAAGGCAATATCATCAAAATGCCTTCTGATGCTTATGTAAGACTGTATACCAACCAGAACCCTCTCGAGTTCATCCGGGACTTGCTGCATGTCAGAATTCATCAGTGTATTCTACCACCGATTCATGTCTGCAGAATTTTCTAATACACAATTCAAGAATGGGAGTACATTGTAGGAGCCTATAACTTTGCATTGCAACAATAATTTGGTGGGGAGTACCCCACCCACCCCCAGAATGTAAATGTGGCTCATGCATTCTTCCAGAAGGTCTAAGCAATCATGGCTAATGTTCATTTTATGGTGCAGACACATACAAACTTTCAAGGTCAGTGGGTACTCATATGCACAAGTCTTGCTACTTACTAGAGGAGCAGTGTCCCTATTTCACTTCTTGAAAATATGTTGGGATGCTTATAGTGCAGCTTTCAAATAGATGACGGAATGATATAGAGCAACATTAGAAAATAATGAAGATACCCTTCTAAAGATCAAAAACTAGAAAAGGTGCATGAACACTAATTATTAAGATGTGCAAAATAGCAGTGCCAGCGTAACAGAGGCATTCAAATTGAACCGCACATACTACAAAAAAGGGGAGTAATCAAAGTAGCTTAATAAAGCCAATGGGGGTTCATACAAGCAGAGAACAAGAATCATGTGTTGCTGCTAAAGCAGTCAAATTGGACACCAAAGGTAATGCATGACCATAAATAAAAGATATTACTCATATAAATAGAACAACCATTATTCTCTGACTTAAATGAATAACCGTCTCACAATAAACAAGATCCAGATATAATAAAGATTAAACAGTACCAGAATAGTTTAATAGCATTACCTCGAACAATTCTGAACCACCCCATGGAAGGGAAGCCAAAATACAATAAACATAAAAATCAGCACGTGGTTGCCAAGAAGCATTTCCAGCATCCTCATCCAATATAGTTGCAGCAGATGATAAAAGTGTCTCGTATGTCTCAATAATGGAATTTGGGGATATAACTTTGCTGCACATCTACAAAACACACACACACACACATTCTACAGTTACAAGAAGAAAAGGTTGAAACAACAGAAACACTACAAATTGCCTCGTCTATACAGCGCAAAATACAAGAAAAAAATTCTACCATGAAAGGAAGGAGGACAGAGAGAAATCTCTCGACTCTTTTCAAGAACAAAGCAAAAGCATTCAGAATCAACTTGTTGTTGTTAGGAAATATGCAACTTGTATTTCCAGGTGGCCATAGGCCAGTATATATGCACGTACAGATGTGGTACAATATGCAGAAAACCCCTTAATAAAAAGGGGAACGCGGCTAAATATATATAACTCTAACACCCCCACCCCCCTCTAAAACTCATGGTGGATCAACGAGTTTGGAGAGATAGAAGCCGTGCTTTGCTTTAGTCTGGGCCTTCGTAAAGAAATCCGCCAACTGTAACTCGGAAGGCACATACTGAAGAGCAATAACCAGATCCTGCAAACCAGCGCGCACAAAAGAAGCATCAACACCAATATGTTTGGTGAGCTCATGCTTAACAAGGTCACGGGCAATACTAATAGCACTTGTACTGTCAGACAAGAGCAGAGTAGGTGTAGTGATAGAAACATCAAACTCCTGAAATAACCACCGTAACCAAGTCACCTCTGCCGTCAAAAGAGCCATAGCTCACGACTCAGCCTTTTCTTCGTCTTCAGGACAATGAGAGAACCACCAACAAAAAAACAGTAAGCAGAAAGCGAACGGCAATCTAAGGGATCACTAGCTCACATAGCATCTGAATAGGCCTGATGTTGTAATGAACTGGAGCGGGGAAAGAACAGATGGTGAGAGATCATGCCACAAAGATAATAGAGAACACGAAGGAGGTGACTATAGTGAACCAAAGTGAGAGCAGAGACAAACTGGCCCAAAATATGGACAGGATAGAAGATATCTGGACAAGTGATAGCTAGATAGACAAGACTCCCAACAAGATGACGATAACGCGTCGGATCAGACAAGGGGTCACTATCAGTAGCACGGAGATGAACATTGAGATCCATGGGAGTCTCAACAATGCGATAATCAGTAAGAGCAGCACAAGCAATAAAATCTTGGGTATACTTTTCTTGGGAAGTAAAAAAGGCATCAGAGGTAGAAGAGACCTCAATCACAAGAAAATAGCTAAGAGGGCCAAGATCGGATATAAGAAACTGCTCACTAAGGCGTGCCTTCACAAAGGCAATATACTCGGGGTCATCGCCAATGATGATCATGTCATCAACATATAGAGGAAGAGTCCGACCACGAGCAGAAAGGTGGACAAACAGTGCAAGATCATGAGCACACGCTAAAAAAACCAGCAGCAGTCATCACAGAGGCAAAATGTTCAAACCAGGCGCGAGGGGCTTGCTTAAGGCCATAGAGAGAGCGGCGAAGATGGCAGACCATGCAGTCAGGAACAAAATACCCAGGCAGTGGTTGCATGTAAACCTCCTCACGCAACTCACCATTAAGAAAGGCATTCTTAAACAATGGTCATATGGGCCACAGGAGCAAAAGTCTCATTGTAATCACAACCATGCTCCTGCTGGAAGCCACGAGCCACAAGACTAGCTATGTAGCGCTCAACAGAACCATCGGAGCGAGTCTTAACCTTATAGACCCACTTACAAGTGATGGGACAAACACAGGGAGGAAGAGAAACAAGATCCCACGTGTCGGTGCCTGCCATTCCAAGCTGTCATTTGGGATGAACAACAGCATCACGATAAGAAGTCGGCTTAAGAAAACCAAGGCGGTCAACAGGCGGAAGCAGACGAGGACGCAAGCCATAAGTAGGATGAGCCGAGGAACATGGCACATCAGAAGTAGATGGCACATTAGTAGACACATCCACAACATACAAACGGCGAGTATAGAAGTGAGGAAAAGATGGAAAAATACGAGGAGGAATCACCGGAATAAACTCAGGTGATGGAGATGGGGAAGCCACCGGTGATGAAGGTGTAGAATCCTGTGATAAGTGAGGTGACGAAGCCATAGGAGATGGCGGCATCAAATATGCAATAGTTGGAGAATCAGGAGCAGTAGGACAGATGGACAAGGGCTCAACAGGATTGATAGGAGTGTCATGAAAAGTGAGGACTAAGATATCCTCCACTGAAAAGGTCGAGGAAGATGGACATGATTAGAGGAACGAGACTCATCAAAAGTCACATCCCGAGAAATACACATCTGACGACCTACAGGTGGGGTGGGACAACACACAGCGGAGCTTCAAGCTCGTACGAGCCAACGGGCTTTGACCTGATACAGGGCCAACTCGATCCAGAGAGGAGGCACACCAGAAGGGTCGGGCAGCACACAACAAGCGGATCGAACAGCGCACGCGGTCAAACGCAAAGCCGGCGAGGAGCACGTGTTGGCATGGGCCGTGTTTGCAGAAGGCATAGACGGCGCATTGGTGGAAGGTTGCTTGGCCAACTTGACGAGCGGGCGAGATACGCAAGAGGGCGGAACAACGACGGCAGGAGGCGCGCATGGAGAATAGGCGGACCGGTGGCCGGCGTGAGAGAAGGAACAACGGCTGCCGGCAAGGGAAAGGTAGCGGCGGTGCACGAGACAGGATCGGAAAGAGCACAAGTTGAGCATGCGGGGAAAAAACTAATGCTCTAATACCATGTTAGGAAATATGCAACTTGTATATCTAGGTGGCCATAGGACAACATATATACACGTACACAAGTGTGGTACAATACAATATGCAGAAAACCCCTTAGAGAGCGAGGAAAATACAAAGGGGAAACAGTTATAAGCTCTCAATACAGGGAGCAATAGGAGATATCAGAGCCTAACATAAGGATGATATCGCGCAAACCAATATGCTGACCAAATGCAAGTTCTACAATCATAAATTATACAAATTATGATATAAATCATAAAAAAACATATCTCTAGACTTGTACTGCTTCAGTTTCTGGGCTGGAGAAGCCGAAGCTACACAAATAAGCCATAACTAACATGCATGCAACACTACTGCCTTAAAGATCGTATGATTCTTAGAGGATGCAACTACTTAGGATTTTTTCCCTATAGAGGCCCGTTTGATTATACGAATGAAGTTAACGAATTTGTATGGATTGCTTTCCTGTGCCCGTAATTCTATAGGAATTTGACATCCACTCCGTCTTCTTTTCTACTGATTTGCTTAGTAACCAAGGAAGTTTTCCTATGTCCTACACAAACGACTACCCTGCAGCTTTCCTATGTTTTGCAATCATCAGTTTTGCACTTACATTCCCATCGAAATCCTGTGTTTCATTCCTACAATCCAAAGAGACCTTGCAACTATTATTTCCCTCAGAACAGCACCCTTCCCAATTTTATCATATAGTTATTCGTACTTCTAGTTTAGAATTACACATGACTAGTGTAACAGGAAGAGACTAAACACCTTTAGCACTGCTCGATTATTCATGAACATGTGTTGCCAATATAACATGTCAATATGTCAGGTATGACATATTCAAGAATCACAAGTTGGGACACATGGTAGCAGCTAGAAAAGGATGAGCAAGAGAATCAACCCAAAACTACTACATAACTTACCAGGCCACAGAGAAACCGCAGCAATATCCTGATCCTATCACGGTTTTCAGTATGCAAAGCATCCTGCAATTACAATGAGTCATTACAAGGCTAGGATGATCTTAAGAGGGACCAAAGTTGGCAAAAAGAAGTCCAGTGGCATAATAAGTCAATAATGCTGGAATATAATCATAGAGAACATTTCTCCAGTTGAACAAGGGGGGAGAAAGGATTAACAGATGCTGCCATGCTCTGTGATGTAGAAACAAAGATTCACACCTGTAGGTTTGCCTGTGTTGCATCCACGACACCCTTGGCAAAATCTTCATTTTCTAAATTTATCAAACCTATCTGACATTACAAAAGAACAAAGCAGAACCATCACAATGATTTAGTTCAATTAAATAAGAGAGATCATATAGCAGCATCTTGTTCTTAAAACATGTAGCTCAAAAATTAATTTAATGTGAGATTACAAAGTTAGGTACATAAGGTATTAAAACCAACTGCCATAAATAAAGACCAGTTCTTTATGGAAGATAACTGCTCAAATACAAAATTACTGTGCGTCCATTTTTTTGCGATTAATTCATCATTTGACCTAAAACAATAGACATACCCTCCTCTCACGAATAGATGCACATAAAAATACGCCAACAGAATAAAATCGTAGAAGTATTGGCAAACGGCTGGACATCATCGCCCACCATAGCATACACGGTACCGCGGGGATCAAGAGACCACAATTGATCTCTGTTTATTTATAAGTAGCAGGTTTGTTGCACAACACATGTGGAAATAATGAAAAGATGGTATGTTTGCATTGGCATGGCAAGCTTTGCGTGGGAGAGGATATATAAATGAGCAGTCATACATGAGCACTAGAATAATCAAAATCCTACCCACAGATTAAAAAATAACATGCAGATCATGTGTAAACATGATAAGACCTAGGCCAACAGAATATGAGCCAAAGCATATGTGAACTTCAAAGTTCACTCACAATGTAAAGTCACCAATCATATAGATCACATTTTAGATCAGGGTTACAAACTATAACTGTGGCGTATATGACCAAACTGTACGCTTGTACAGGGCCATGTTTTGTTTCATAAGTCCAACCAGAAACTCAAAACTATAAATATGCATAGTAGATATATGTTGTTTATAATGCTGATATACATGCTGCTTCCCTCTTTGTTACAGAAATAATAAGGACATTCAAAGCATGAGCAACAAGTCAAACATGTATTGAGATTCAATAAGAACTTCAAATGATCCACGAGTAATATTTATGAAAGAAGACAACATAAATTAGCAGAGTGTATAGGCTTCATAGAAATAGCTGCATACCAAAACTCCAAAGAAAGGAATCTTGTGAGGTAATTGTTCTGCACACTGAAGGAGAAACTGCTTGGACAAAGGTACATTTAGTTAGCACCTCAAATAAATTCAGATAAAAGATGGCGATATGTATCGAAGGCATTGAAGAGGTAAGCAAATGCTACAGGATGCAGCATGTAGGATCCATACTCCACGTTTTTTTCTTTGAACAATGTCTGAGAAGGAACCAATTAAGCACTAATGCTTCTTCGTAGAATTAAAACTATAGATTATCAAAAGATAGCCAGATTGGAATAGTAAAAGCACAATAATATGAACAAACACAGAGTAGAATGTTGGACACCAACCTCAAAAATATCATCTTTGGAGTGTTCATATTCACGAGAAAGCACATTGTAACAGATTTCCTGTGAAGCCAATGCTTGGTCAGAACAGGTGCGAAAGAAACATGGCATGATAGATGAAAAAATGCAACATTCTATTCAGACCATTGTGCGTTAGTTGGAACAACTGCGATGTTGTAAATATTGACAAACAATCACAGGAAAAATGTGTGTGTCTATGAACTTGCTTGGAACCCTTTAGTAATCATTTGATTGAAACTGCATTTTGCAATAAATCAGGATTATACCTAGAGATGGGTAATCTTCATCATTACATACTACTATCCAATAGTACCACAATTTCACTTATCTTAGAGGGCATGTTCAACTAGAAACAGGATAAAGTGACAAATGATTTATGTCGCTCTTAACATAATAATAACCCTGGAACTATCCTAGGATTATTGTAACACCAATATGTAGTCATAGGATATTAGGATGTGTTTGGTTTGAGCTCGGGCTTGTCCAACAAACAAATTTGGCCAAGGTTCTGTTTGCCCATGAATTGGCCAGTGTTGGGAAGAAAAATGTACTAGAGTAGGCAAAGGGGAATTGGCATGCCCAAAAGTTGGCAACCGTCCAAACAAGGTCCAAACTTTTAGTCATGGCCAGAAATTGAATTGTGACAGCAGATGTGCAACACTGCAAGCAGACAAGTTCCTAAGGCACTAGTAGTACGTCGCAACCCAAGTTTGGTCTCTATCATATTGAGCCAACTTGCTGTATCTAAATGCAAGAAGCAGATCCAACGGCCTGGGAACCAAATCCAACTGTTGAGAGCGACGATACTAGATTGGCAGGAATGAGATGACGAAAGCAAAGGCTGCAAAGCTTTTGGATAATTAAGAACAGGCAGGGAACTGTAGGCGCCCTAGAACAATAGTGATTAAAAAAGCACTAGCACCCCATCCGGAGTCACACCGTGATGTGTTGTTTTTTAATACTGCCAGCCAGGTTGGCACATTGAGAGCCGCCGCGATACCAATTCCACTCCGCACCCCCAATACCAAGAGCTGAGTGTTCCGCACAGAGAACTGTGACCGGTGGCTAGGGTTTTGAAGGGGTGGCGATGTGGGAGGGAGAGGGGTAGGGGAACTCACGATGTGCTCCTTGTGGTCGGCGGTTCCCCCGTACTCGGGGCACCTGTCGCCGATGCGAAGCAGCAGCGTCCTCCAGCCAGCGCTCATGGCGGCGGTGGCGGTGGCGGTGGCGGAGAGAGAGGTGCCGGGTGCGGGCAGGAGGCGACTCGGGTCGAGGGTTTTGGTTTCGGTCGGTGCGCGGGGGTTTGGCTCTGTGGGAGGCTGGTTAGTGTGGATTTGGCACAAGGACATTTACCATTGGACGGTCTCTGTGGGAGGCTGGTTAGTGTGGATTTGGCACAAGGACATTTACCATTGGACGGTCCAAATCTTACGATGACGGTCGCCCAAACATACTCTAAGGGCTCATTTGGTCGGATAACCATGGGCTGATTTGGCCCGGGGCAGCAGACAGCGCCATTTGTTTTTGTTTATTTTTTTAGAATTAGACAGCGTCATTTGGTGACCCGCGAAGGGGAAAGACCCCTGGCCTTTCCCCGGCCCATCCTGAGGATAGCTCGCCCGTTGTCGATAGATCAAGGAGAAAACCCTCGACTGCTCGCTCTCTCGCGACCGACCAGGCGTCGTCGACCAAGATCCATCTCCGCCTCCGACCTCCGAACTCCTCCGCGTCCGACCTCCATCGTCGGCGAACGAAGCGATGCTCCTCGCAGCCCTCCCCCAGTGCTTAGGATCCACGCTCCGCCCTCAGTGACAGCGACGACGACAAACCGCGACCGTCACCCTCCTCCTTCTCCGGACCACCTCTCCGCCTTGAAGCTCGTGTCCCACCCGGCAACGGCGGCAGGCACCTAATTGCTCGGTACCTAACTGCCTGGGGACAAAAGAGGATCGCCAACGTCCAGCTGCAGATTACGATGGCTAACTGGATCATCTTCCAGCTTGACGTGGCGTAGGAAAGACGCTTTCTCATGGAAGTGGAGAGGTGGTTGCGCTGAACACTTAAGCTCATAGCTCTGGGCCCGGCCTCGCTCGAGCGTACGATTGCTAGGCAGAGGTCGTGCATAAGATGGCTACAGGAGGGCGACGCGAGTACCAAGCTATTTCACCTCGTGGCTGGAAGGAAGACGAAAAACTTCATCCCGACAATCATGCACAACGGAAATCTGATTACGGACCAGATCGGCAAGGAGGAAACTCTTTCCAAACCTACAAAGACTTACTGGGAACGGCAAGAGGGTGGGAGAACACTATTGATCTGGACTTCCTTGAGATACAACCTATCAACTTGATTGATCGGGACATGTTGTTCACGGGGGATGAGGTGTGGGCCACGATCAAAGAGATGCCGGCGGATCGCGCACCAGGGCCGGGCGGTTTTATTGGTCTTTTCTTTCAGAAGGCGTGGAATATCATCAAAGAAGACCTGATGGCAGCCATCCACCATCCATTTCTTGGCTATGGCCGCGATTTTGGATGACTGAATCAAGCCTTGATCACGCTTATTAGAAACAATAAGGTACACATCAAAGGGGCCTTCTCGCGCTATACACGTCATCACAAGGAGATGAAAAAAAAAACGCGTTGCGATTGGGTGGGAGGGACTGAAGCTGGGGAGGGGGTCAATTCTCGGAGAATTGCCCAAAAGAACTGGCCCCGAGTCGCTCCCGTATTGGGCAGAAATAGAGACAAAAAAAAATCAGGTTCCAAGCGTCTTGTATTCTCCCCCCACGCACGCGACCTCCTCTCGTTCCACAAGCCAACGCAACCGCCGCCTCCTCGCCTCCGCCTCTTTCTCCGGGGGCCTTGCAGCTGCAGCGGGATGGGAGTCAAGGGGGCGAGCGGGATGGGCGGCCAGCTGGTTTCTTCGCCAGATCTGCAGCCCAGGGGCGACTCCGGTGAGTAATTCACCAGCTTCTCTATCCTTCTTCCCCTCCACTCCTAATCTGTCTTCATGCCCATCTAACATAGGACCGGGGAGTGGCGGCAGTGGCCAGGCCTAGTGGTGACGGGACAATGAAGTGGTCGGAGGCGCTGCATCGGCGGCAAGTTGGTCTGCAACGACAGCAAGACGAGGGAGATCGTGCACCCGCGGTGCCAAAGGTGCGCCGCCTTCCCCATGTCCCCTTCCTCTCCCTCCGCCCTCGCCTGCATGCCATCTCCTTCTGTCCCAGCCTCGAACACATCATCCCGAACGACGATCTCGGCCTCTGCGGCAGCGGCCTCTGTTCTTTTCCTAGAGATGAATACTTTGAGAGCGTTTGTTGGCTCAACGGGATTGTCGGACTAAGTTTCTTTAAGGTTATCTGATTAATTCTCTCCTTTGAGAGCATTTTTTCAAAAAAAAAAGTTTATATTTTTTTTACATCATCTCTGATTATGTGATTAATTCAAGTATTTAACCCTGTTCTGGTGGGTTAATTGTTGACTGGTGTAACTATTCTTTATATGAGTAGGTGTACAGTGATATCCCGAAATGCAGAGTGGCTGGGCTAATTTACTAATGAAACTCACTAATATATCCTTGGATGTCTTGATCAGCTCAAGGGCCATTAGGGAGCTGAACTCAGATGTATCCACCGTGCAGGACAATGCCTTGGAGCTCCTGCTATGTGGCTGTGGTTCTGGTCTTCTTTCCTGTACTTAAATCTCGTAAGTATATCTAAACTGGAACTTTAATTCTGATGTACTATATCTGATAAGACACAAAGTGTGCTGATTGGCCCTGATATTTCACCACACACTAATAACAGCAATATTTGGGGATTTTTTATGGAGAAGTGTATGAACTAGGAGAAGTTGATCTATCTAGCAACCAGAAATTAGATAGAATAGATAATTTAGTTGAAGCAAAGTAAATGTGAGAGGAGAAGCAGAAACCAAGATGGGGATTAAGCACATGGGGGGCACCCAAAATACTTTCCTGGCTGAGATTTCTCAGCACCTTTCTTTGATGCGAAGCAGGAACAACATACTTTTGAACTGAACTATAACTGGGCTCCCTCTTGGTTCTTGGTCCTAATTTCAGGTGGAGCCATTACATGCAAATTAGCTGCAGGAATCTTCATCTTATACACTTCAACTTATATACACTTCAACTTATACTCACTGCAAAAAAAATCCACTTTTACTCCTGCCATATCTGATTTCCATTTTCTTCTCAATGGTAGTGAAATTATTTAAGATTTGTTTCTCGACACCCCTTTTCTTTCCACAAATTGATAAAAATCGGCATCATTATCAACCAATGCCTTCTGCAAGTCTATCTTCTTTTCTTCCAACAAAACCGGTGATCACCATTTGTTTTTGTTATGTGTGCAGGTGTTTGTTCGATCTTATAGGCTTCTTCATATTTTGCATATTCATCAAGACGTGGCAGTCTACTCTGCTATTTTGGCTATCATGGTCAAAATAGCAGTATGGAATAAATGAGACTTCCGGTCAAGCTACTGATATTAAGGTGATTTTTTCTTTTCATCTACTGCTATGTTGCTGTCAGTACCAGCTGTTCTTGCATCTCTAATTTCTGCTGGCTTGCTGTTCAGGTGTTCTTATGTTTTTTTGGTGGGCTTTCAAGCCACTTGTGTTTGCATTTTGTCCAAAACTCATGAAGATTGAAGGTATGCATGGAAAATCTTCAGTTTTAGGGAATAATTATGGAAAACAATGAATTGTCAATGTTTTGCTGCTGATCATGTTTGCAGTTTTGCCATCCAGTTATACTTGTAGCTTATAGGTTTGCAGTTTTTCAATTCAGTCTACGTTCTACTAATACCAGGTATTGTTGCATCTGTCATAACTGTTGTTGTTTAACGAACATTTAATGGCGTATAGGATCTTCAGAAGAATAACCGGCATAGCATATGGGTGCACGTGTGGAGCCAGTTCAGAGCATACGTAGTAGTAGCAGTCTCAAGGTAATGCATTACAGGGCATGTACAATTTTGAAATTGTAAAATTCCACTATGGCACTAAGGTGCTGTCTTTTGCTCTCCTCCCTGCAAATCTATGCTTATTTCCTGATATATATGTAGCTTCTTATATAATTAATAGACTGTATTATGAGTGTATTCGTGTTCTAAAATCAACAATGGTGGTATCTTGGTAGAACTAATGCATTTCCTTATGATTTACTATCCTGACTTAAAAGATATTGACTGATTTTACAGCTGCTGTGCACATAATACACTGCTATATGTTTCGTAGTATTATCCTTCTAAGAACAAGTACCGGCGCTCTGTTTTGCTAATCCAAAAGGTGCAGCTTGTTATTGTCCTTCAACTATGCTTCCAGCATATATATGTTTTAACTTCTTGATCCTTGTTTTGCTATGCTTAACCTTTCATACCCAGCTTCTTGGATAAACTAATTGTAGAATTTCTTACCTTTGCCATGCCTTGCTTTGCATGCTTCAAGAAGCTTTTCAGAATATTCAGTTAATTGTGCTGGTTGTTCATATCCTTAGCTGTTTTGCAGCTTATCTGTCAAGTAGGTTTTACACTTTCGACAACTGGGATAATCATGCTGCAATTGCATGCGATGCTACTTCTATATTGCCGTGCTCTGAAATATATTTTCAAAGGCATAACCGATTGGTCAAAATATACAGCTTGAGATACTTTCAGTTTAGTTCATATCATATATGATTTTAGTTTGTCGCACGGTATTTTTTTTTTTTAAATATTAGCTATCAAGGCAAGGATAAGACATCAGGACAAAGAAGAGTTACCCTATGCGTTTTTGGTGATGTTGCAGAACACTCTTGAGAAGCGACAGCTAGGTAACATCTTCATGCTCCTCCCACTCTTTTGTCCAAGAATTTATTCTTTAAACCTATCTCCATGAAGGATAGTTTTTATGTTATCTGGTTCTCACTTCTCAGGTATTATGACGCATATCTTCCTTCTCTGTTCAAAGCTTGCACAAGTGAAAACCCTGATGTTATACAAGTATGAATCTTTATGATCCTTCTACTCTTTTGTCCAAGAATTTATTGTTCAAACATTTCTCCATGAAGCAAAGTTTTTATGTTATCTTGCTCTCACGTTTCAATTTTTTTCTTCAAAATACTGTTTCTAAAAAGAAACATAACTTGCCATTGTTAGGATCGAGAAGCATACAGGATAAACAAAGGAATTTGTATATGTGCACCTAGCATAGAATCTGAAAATAAATTAGCGATGCATATGATTTTTCTAAGCAACTATATAATCTGATTTCTCAATAAAGGGTGCAGGCAAAGATATTAATTTGTAGAGAATGGAGTTGGATACGTCCAGCATTCGTACAAAATGTGAAGAAAAAACAGATATTAAAACTCCATCTAAAATGTAATACATGTGGGTTGTAGCAGTCTGTATATCCATTGAACATATTTAAAATTGCCATTGCAGTGTGGAGTACAATGGCTCCTACGGCTCGGCTTCGCGGCCGGGATCAGGCATCGCTGGATCGGTGGCACCAAAGGTGGGTTGTGGAAGACTGCATCGGGGAGCATCGAGCCATCGACCGAACAAGGTCTTAGAGTCGTTTATGATCCCGTAGGCCTCCGACAACATCAATAATAAGGATAGGAGTTGTCTGCTTCATATCGCCTCTGTCTCCACCCACGTTTCAGTTTGCAGGTTATTTTCTTTTCTTTCTTTTCTTGGGCTCTTCTCTCTTATGTTAAGTAATCATATTTGATTTGGAATGAACTGCAGGACGTGTTTGAGGGTGGCTTCTGCTTGTTCATGAAGGCAACTAAGAAGGAGAATTTGATTAAATTTCTTGAAGGAAAGAAATATTTTATTTTCAGGCAGGTATGAAACTGTGAATGTCCTGTAGTTCATGTTGAGGGTGGCTTCTGCTTGTTCATGAATGCATCGTAAAGCCTTGACAGCAGTGTAGGTGTTCTTTGTGTTGTTCATGTTGAGGGCATTGATGATGAGTTGCTAGAGCGTCTTGATTGGTTGGGGAACCTGGCTATTTATGCTTCTCAATTTTCATATTTGTATTGGAACTATTTACTAAATTATATGCCGACACAAGTTTAGTATCTTTTTGATAATATATTAGTTACACATCTGATCTATGTCAGTTCGTTGTTGTCCAAGACAAAATGTTTTTATTTGAACACCATACATACTTATCGGCATAACAAAACACAACTAATGCATACCCATAATAAGCATTAATCTGTACTTTTGATTTTAAGGTCTGAGTCGATCTATATTGCTCAGTTGATAGCTCTGTACTATACTTTTTGTAAAAAAAATATATGAATTAGGACTCCATCGCTTTGATTTGTCGAAGCAACTAAGTTGTTTCTCGTCATGTGGTTGGGAGCTTTTCTTGAGCCTTTGTTTGCTTTATGACATTGAGCTCTTTGAAAGGAGGCGAGAAGTATTTTGAGATCTTCCTCCTGAAGAACATCTTGTTAGAACATGCCCAGATTAGTTGTTGTGCATGTGGTGTTCGTGCTACTGGAGGTGTGCGTGTGTGCTAGATGTGT